AAAGCAATGTAAGCACCTGCCCAGCCCTTGCTTCAAATATCACTCTCATATGCAACCCAGATCACCAACGAAGGAACAGCGGATGATGTTTGAATAAAATGAGCATTGTCTGTTTAATAACGTTTCAAGGATATAGGCCACCCCCAAAGTTTCTGCGATAAATATAGTACCATTCAGATGTTCTGTACTTCCAATCATTAGACAGGTTGTGCAAAGCCGCATGCGGCTTTTTTTGGCGCACAACGTCTTTCTATGCGGCTTTTTCACCTTTTGCTCTAGTGGTCTGGGATGCAGCAATTAGTCATTCTCATGATGCACAAGACAAGAAGACGGCACTTCCGCACACGGCTTTGTGCAGCCGCATGCGGCTTTGCACAACCTCTCTATTGTCAGAATTATGCAATCCTCATGGTTACCGACATGAGTACTTCGACATATTAATCGTGGCCCAGATCCTTGCCAAGCCTACAAATGGCCCGCCCGGTGACCTACTTTGCAAGTCTTCTCACGGTTTGACTTGGCAAAACTCGCGGGTGCCCGCACTCGCTTTGTCAAGAGGCACCAATACGCCTCACTTCTACTTCCATCTGCAAACTGGCAGATGCCAGAGTTGGTTCTTGACCAGCAGGAGTTGTCAAAAGAATCTACAAATCTGTTGGGGGGCCTTGAACCATCCGCCATTCTAACGGACAATGATTTATTCTGGTTCGGAAGTCGGTGGACGCCAAATTATCTGGGAATAAGTATCTCCCCGCTGAATATTCTTACGGTCACCGTGCCTACAGTGCCTACTTACTTACTAACACCGACTCGAGTGACTCCAAGTCGACACGAGTCGACTTGGTTCGACTCAGGAGTCGGGCGGAGTCGTGCGGACGACTCGACTCGACTCGACTTAAGTCGACTTCACCAAGTCGACTTGGTGGGCCGGAGTCGAAAGTCGCGGCAACACTAAACTGGGCTGAGGGACCTACACAAATATTTTCAGAATTTTAGCCCATCATTGTACGTTGATATGCCATCAACTTTGCTTAAACATCAGAAACTCCTCTCTTGCTGTTTTTGTCAACTTAGCATAGGGTTTTTTTCACAATAATCCAAACAACCCAGTTTGTAGTCCAAGATATGAGCATTCATTATACCAACTGAACCATGGAAAAATATACAGGCAATTGAGTGCTACACGGCCTGCAAAATGGTCAAAAACGGCGAAAATGGCAGTACAATCCCCAAAATAGCGGTTTTTGGCCGTTTTGTGAGCTCTATAGCATCCGATTGCCTATATATTTTTTCATAGTTCAACTTGCAAAATGAATCCTTACACATGGGACTACAATCTGGTCGTTTTAGGCTGTGCTGAAAAAAATCATGGATTGAGTTGAAAAAATTGAAGAATCATGAGTTTCGGAGCCTGCCTGCGACTCCAAATTTGGCTTTCAACTTGAAGAATTTGCATGCAATTCGTAGATTCTCTTGCCATAATGGTGGTCAACGAGCAAACGAAAAATTGTTATTTGGGACAATCGAGCAACACACTGGCGTACACCACCCGCTAAAACCTTAGAAGGACAGCTTGTAGCTGTCCGTTCAATGAAATGAAATTATCATTTTTGGCCACCCGCACAATGGAATATCGGCCTCGCCAGGGTATTCCATATTTCGGCCGTGGCACCCACTCCTGCTCCCGCGCCCTCGCCTGCACCCACTGAAACGGCCTCAATCCACGCCACGAGGCGACCGGAGCTGGAGGAGCCGCCCCTCCCTCAGGTTGCCGATGCGCATCTCCGCCGGCCTTCTGCCTTGACTATCCAGATGCATGACAACAGTCTCCCAATACAGCCTACACTGTCGATTTCGCTGCTGCAGGAGCAGGTGGATGGCATGCCGCATGCTCAAGAGGAGGGGGAGGCGTCTTCTGCGCAAGGACCGGTTCCCGCTGTCGTCGTAAAACCTGAAACTGTGCCGATCACGCCTGACCAGCAGCCAACTCCGACTGTCCTCGCTTCTGCGGTACTTCCCATCTCGATGCATGCGGATTCCGCTGCAGAGGCTTTTTCGACGATCGATGTTCCTCCCACAAGTGCAGTAGACGCAGAGGCAGCCCCTCCCGCCGACGTCGACGACGTCGCTGTCGTGGCTCCCCTCAAGGTGGATGTGGATTCCGCTGTGGAATCATCTTCGGCGACCGACGCTCGTCCAACAAATGTAGTGGACGCAGAGGCGGCCCCTCCCATTGACAGTGACGACATCGCAGTCATGGCTCCCTTCATGGTGGATGTGGATTCCGCTGCGGAATCATCTTCGGCGACCGACGTTCCTCCCACAAGTGCAGTAGATGCAGAGGCAATACCTCCCATTGACACCGATGACATCGCTGTCGCGACTGTGGTTCCCGTCACAGTGAATGTGGATTCCACTTCGGAGCCGTCTTCGGCGACCGACGCTCCTCCACGAGTGCAGTCGACGCAGTCGCTGCCACAAACAGCAATGACATCGCTGTCGAAGTGTCATCGACGTTTGACAGCCACGCAAGCGGGGAGAACCGCGCAGTGGATATGGCCCAGAGGGTAATCAGTCGCAGGCATCTACCTCAGCGTACATCGTTCTCTTCGGCGGCGCATGCTAAACCGCTCTGCTGGTCGACCAGAGACCTGGGTAAGTTCCATAGCAACGAGTTTTTTTTTGTTGTATACTCACCCCCTCCAGAACGCTTCATTCCCTTGCTCCCATCGAGCTCTGAGCTTCCGCAAAGGATCCTTAATCAGGTATCAATGAACCTTACCCAGACTCGCGACCAAATTCGGGAATGCCACGCAGTTCTCCAGGTTCATGGCTGCATCGCTGACCCCCCATCGACTAGTGATATCGGGCTGTGCTTCAAAGTGCTTGAGCGTCATTTTGGGAAGGCTTAATTTATGATTGTTATTGTATGGTGGTTGCGAGTACTTACGTTTACATAATACTCGTTTTTAGGACCTCATTTTGAGAAAAGTTTTCATTTGTCGCCTTGAAAACATGCTTATATAGTTTTTTATTAAGTTACTTACTAGTGGCTGTGTTGGAAATTTAGTGGCTGTCCCCGACCGCTATCGAGATTTAGGGCCCCACAGGTTGTCTAGAGTAATTCGCAGTCGCTGGCTACATGGACAAGGAAATCTATCCAAATCCTCTCCGCACAAAACTGCCATGAATTGTGCTTCGGGAACACTCTTTCGGCCATGTCGCCATCATATGATATGAAACGGAGTATCCGTTAGTACTATGGTCGAAAACCAGAGTACTCCAGGCTATTGAACTTATTAGAGAGGCACCGGGTCTTCATGCACCATCTCATCCAGATCGTGACATGTGTCTGAATAGTCTGGCACTTGCTCTCCAAACAAGAGTTGACCAGTGAGGAGATCCACAGGGTGTCTGGGACCGGCCTTACAGCCGTTGTCAGTACCGAAGGCGCGAATCAGAAAATTGCCGTTTTGGGCATTTTCTGATTGAGAGAATCCGCGAGCGAGGCACGAGAGAGCGGATGCGAGGTTTCTTGTAGAGATCGGCCCGAAGCGGCACGCGCCAGCGCTAACAACTGCAACCTTTGCAGTTGTTTGCAGTGCCAGCGCGTCTTTGCTCGCTCGTCGCGTCCACCTAAGAACGCGCCGAGACGCTTCGGGCCACCTCAGCGCCCTCTCTGGCCCACCCACCCGCGCCTCTTCTTTGAGCCATCCTCTTCACGGTCGGTTCCAACCGCGAAAGTCTGTCCGTGGGCCGTACGGCCGGGTTGTCCCCAGCCGCACGCGCCTCTTCTGAGCCAGCCGAAGCAGCCGAGAAGCTGCATCAACTGGCCCACCCCCACACACACGGACAGATCTTCGCGCCGGAAAACGGCCGCGAAGATCCACCTCTCTCACGGATCTCGTAAGCAAGAAATCCCGCCACCGATTTGCCCATATCTCGGTGAGTTCTGCACATATTGAATTGAAATGTAGCTAGATAATTCGGGATAATTCAGCCCCTATTAGTGATAGAGATATCTGAAAAAATCTCTTGTTGTTTACCATCTGGCATATCAGGCTTCTCCAGCAATGGATCCTGACTGCAGAGCCCAAATCTGGCCCGAATGAGCTGAATTTTTGGGAGGAGGGATTCATATGTGTACTGAGTAAGGTGATAGAGCCAAAGTATGAATACATTACATACATAGAGCCATTCTCTGTTTGCTGCCCAAAACACACCACCGAAAGAGACAGGAAGGGCAGGAAATAAATTTCTCATCATTTTAGCTCTATTACTTCATTAAATATATAGATGAGTACCCCCTCCCAAAAATCTAGGTCATTTGGACAGGATTCCAGCTATGTAGCCAAGATCTATTGCCCGCAAAACCCGGTGTGACATATAGTGCACGATAAAATATTTTCCTTTATGTCTCCCTATCACTAATAGCGGCTGAATTATTCCGAATTATCTAGCTACATTTCAAGTCAATCTGTGCAGAACTCACTGAGATACGGGCAAATCGGTGTCGGGGATCAGAAAATGCCCAAAACAGCAATTTTCTGATTCGCGCCTTCAGTACTGACAACGGCTGTAAAACACTTTCCGACTGGATATCGAATTTTCCAAAGTTGATTCCCCCTTGACACCCGTAGGAGGCTGCATTTTTCACGCATCACAAAGAGTAGGAGTATGATTGTGCTAAATATCAATTGCATTGTTATATTTGTATCTTCTAAAACACCCTAAAACACCCCTCCTTAAGATTCTCAGGGAAGCAAATATTAAAATTATATTTCCTGCCAGACCGAGGTCACATCATTCTCAGGACATTCCTGCGCTTCATGTCACCCACCGGCAGTTGGACCGTATCGACTTTGCCCTGAATGTGAGAATGCTGTCTTAAGTGTGTGTGTTCAGTGCAAAGTCGATACGGTCCAACTGCCGGTGGGGTGACGTGAAGCACAGGAATTTGTTGAGAATCATGTGGCTGCGGTCTGGCAAAAGGGAGATATCAGCTTAAGCAGGATTCGAACCAGTGTCACTCTCATGTGATGGAAGCGCTCTAACCAACTGAGCTACTAAGCCATTGATTGAGCCCTCTGAGTTCACGTAGACCGGGATCTCGTATGAAGACAAATCGTTCATACTAGTGGGGCTGGGCATCAGCCGTTCTCATCGTTTATTTTCTATCTGATCACCGACCAGGGAAACGGGTCACGACAATCTAATCCTAAGCGGGATGACAGGACTGAAAGAACCAACGGCTAAACAATTGCAGAACTACCCTAAAATTATTGTTGATGACCTGATCACATTGTACGACGATGGCACAATGGTCAAGACCCCTGAATATCTTCATGGCAAGGCAGCGGTTCTCATCGTTTATTTTTTATCTGATCACCGACCAGGGAAACGGGTCCGCGTTGCACTTCTACTAATTATCGCGGACCACCCAGCGATGTGCAAGCTGTGTGGTTTTTCAGATCATAGCCACAATGGTGCCCCATGCACAAAATGTGAGGTATCCCAGGACGAGTTCTTCACAGAAAAGTCACTTCGAAACGGTAACACGAATCTGAGCATCTGCCGTGCAATATGTTCTAGCAATTTCCAGAATTTCCAAAACGCACAGGTGAAGAACATCGTCGACTAGCCAAAATGTATCGCGATCTTTCTACGTCGGAAGAAAAGGAGGAATTCTTTGTTGAGCACGGCGCGCAATGGACAGACTTTGCACGCTTGGATTATTTTGATCTGGTGCGTTATACGGTTGTCGATCCTATGCATAATCTGCTTCTTCGTAAGCGCCGTTGTGTTTGATGTTTTAAGGCTTCCATTGACGTGTAATTTCAACTTCAGGTGTCGCAAAAAACCAGTGGTATACCCGATGGATCGAAACTGGGGCTCTGCGAGCTAACACACCTCAAACTCCGCGGGAGCTCAACATTGTCCACGAGTTTTTGGAAAGTGTAGGTTTTCGTCTCAACCTGCCGCGACCTACCTCTGATTACTCGCAGTTTGAGGCGCCTCCGTGGGCCGGCCACTTGCCTTTACGCGTCGGAGAAGCAGCAGGCGGTTCATTGACCGCAGATGAGTATAAATTCGCAACTACGGGTCCATGGGCAATTGTGGTATGTCTGTTTCTGTCTTGTAGTTTCAATCTTACTCGGACAACGACTACAAAGCTGCAGTAGCCCGATACCCTGAATCTTTAAGAGAGTACAAGAAAAAGCTCGATACATGGGAGAAAGAAAAACAGTTAGGCAATCAGAAATCTCGTCGCCCGCGTCCGCCAAAGGCGCCTGTCAAACGGATGCAGCCAGAGGAACCCTGGAACTTTCTCTGTTTTGCTACAGCATTGAAGATTCTGGTTGGCAGTTCCATCACTTCCGAGGGACCGATCGAGCAAAGGAATTGCTGCGTGATTATCTCTAGGATCATTTGTTGAAGCGTCTGTCTACGAGAGACGAGGCCTTCTTGAGGTTTCGATGATGCGGGAATTTCACCGAATGGCACAGCTTGAGGGAATGGTACGTCGAATATTCAACGTGAACATTTACAGCTAATGTCGGAACCTAGGGCGCGAACGAAAAATTTCCGTTTTGGGAACTTTTTCGACCGATTCCCTCATAACTCCTTGAGTTTTGGTCCGACTACCTCGAAACCTATACCAATCTTCCAGAATAATTTGTCTGCAATTAGTGATGTAAAGGAAAACGCGAAAATGAATTTCATTTCTCTATTTGGCACCGGGGGCTTTGTTTCTGTTGAACACCTCCTATGAGGGTGGGCACTTGTTCAAACACACTGAATTTTTGGGAGGGAAGATTTACATGCATTATACAGAGGGTGATGTAGCCAGAATTACGATTTTCTTCTCCATTGAGTCACTATTGGCTCGGAAGTAATCTTTCGATCAAAATTGTTGAACTTCCCATAACTTCTTCAATCTACAACCAAATTCAAACCTGAAACTACACAGGACATCGCATTCGACGTCTCCTCCAGGCTATATGCTCGAATTGTCCTAGTTTTCTTGTCCTGGTTTTCTTGGAGGTGGTACATCCGACAGCTCAGATTCGGATATAGTTTTTCTATGCATGTTTTTGAACAATTCGAGCATATAGCCTGCGGGGGACGTCAAATGCGATGTCCTGTGTAGTTTCAGGTTTGAATTTGGTTCTAGATTGAAGAAGTTATGGGAAGTTCAACAATTTTGATCGAAAGATTACTTCCGAGCCACTAGTGACTCAATGGAGAAGAAAATCGTAATTCTGGCTACATCAACCTCTGTATAATGCATGTAAATCTTCCCTCCCAAAAATTCAGTGTGTTTGAACAAGTGCCCACCCTCGTAGGAGGTGTTCAACAGAAACAAAGCCCCCGGTGCCAAATAGAGAAATGAAATTCATTTTCGCGTTTTCCTTTACATCACTAATTGCGGACAAATTATTCTGGAAGATTGGTATAGGTTTCGAGGTAGTCGGACCAAAACTCAAGGAGTTATGAGGGAATCGGTCGAAAAAGTTCCCAAAACGGAAATTTTTCGTTCGCGCCCTAGGTTCCGACATTAGCTGTAATGACCAGCTTTACGTAGTTAAATGGAATTTTGGACGAGAAATCCGGGCACAATCTTCCCACCGAGCTCCAGATGGAGAACCAATTTATCCGGACAGTCCAGGATGCTGCTACCCACGGTACGATCACCAGTTCATTTTCTTCGCTTTTTAATAGCTGTGTATTGCTGTTTCAGAGCGCAGGCTGTCGCGGGTGTCCCTCAGAAGTATTGCCGAAAAATCTGTCAGGATTGAGGACGACGCCATGCGATTGGGCCTGATAAACTACTACAATCGTGATGAGGTCAGAGTTGCCGCGTGATGGCACATGTTTATCATAGACGGGAACCCAGAACTAGCCCCAGTTCGGAAACACCCATCCAAATTTGACTCCTGGGGTCATTGCTAGTGGCATCGATACTTACTAGGACTTTTTTTTTCAAATATGTCTCGCACTTATTGAGACTTTTTGTTGGGCCCCAGCCAAACAAACTTCAACACAGCCACAAAATGCTGCCTAGTTCAAGAAACATAATATTGGGACCTTTCCTAGCCCCAAAAGTATCCCAGAGGTTGGGGACGAGCCTGAGGTTCCATGTATGGCCGAGGCTCGTTGAGTTTCTGAAGTCGACTGTAGAATTGTCCTCTCCTCCACAGTCCTGAAATTTGGACTATCGGACAAGGTTGTCGCAGCCAATGTCTGCCAAAATATCCATTCTTTGTCTGGTGGACCAGTAGAACGATCCCAGAGTGCAGGTATAGCGTCTGTCGTGGTTTCACCATTCACAAATTTGGCGCCGAGAAAAATGACCCGAAGTCCGGGAAACAATGTGACAAGGTAGTCCTGTTTTAAGTTCAGGTGTCCGATCAGAGTAAAAAGCTTATTACATAATCACGAAATGAGCCCATTGCTCCATGTCGCGCGACCTGAGACTAGAACAATCATAATGAGATACATCTTCTGTGATTGGCCAAATTTATTTGGATTTTTTGAGTACCATTTGACGCTGCTGTGGAAGAGGTAAAGTTGATGGGTAAACATCACATTCATGTCACGTCGTCTTGAACCATGTGCTAAAATCCTAATTCAAGGATGTTTCGGCAGGTTCTTAGGAGGCAGATCAGCACAGATATGCACCAATAGTGAGTCTGCCCAGAAAGAAAGTGAGAAAAATGGCTTGCGCTCTCAAAACGAAGAGAATACATGGTAATTCAAACTCAGATGATTATGTCGGACCCCGGCGCTTACTAACAGACTTCAACAAACGGAGGTACGACGTCAAATATTGTTGAAGCGTCTGTCTAGGAGAGACTAGTGACAAGGTCGATGATGTCCTTGAAGGCTCGAAGCTGAGTATTGGCGGCCTCAGTGCTATGAAATCTGTTTTAGAAGTATTAGTATACGGGTAAATAAGAGACGCACGGCAGGGTATATTTCATGAGCTTCTCACACCGCTTCTCAACCTTCCCTGCTGTTGAAAGACGCAGAAGTTCCTTTTTTTTTTTTTTTTTTTTGGAGCGTTTGGGATAATGAGACTCAGTCTGCAGAAGCATTCCAAGCTCATCCGCTATTGTTGCTGGTTGTCAGCCAGATCTTGCCGGGGAAATATGCCACTCAGGAGGAAATGCCTTACGCACGTTTTTAAACCAGTGTGGGACTCCGACCCGAAAAGTTATCCAAGTCCTACAATACCTCTGGTCTGGACTATTAGGTGCTATGGAGGGCTACGGAGCTTCTGTGCCAGGGCTATGGACGGCTATCATAGCTTGGCATGTGGCTATAACGGGCTATCAAATAGGGGACTAGTCTACCGGGCTACCACGGGTATTTGAGCTACGGAGCGCTACGTAACCATGGCGTTTTTTTCCTGATGTCGCTCGGTCGACGCTCGCGCATCGACCAGCTCGCATTGGGCCTACATAGCTTCATTCAACAGACTTCGACCCTCAGGAGAGCAGTAGTACCCTCCAAAGTTCAAGCAAGGATGACGGTTGAAAACCAGAAGGTTGAACAGTTGTTGAAGATTAATCTACCAAATGAGCTTCCGGTGAGGTAGTGGAACCGGGAATTGTTCCAGAATCCGTTCAGAATGGTCTCAACGAGGAAGCGCCGACTGCGTCGGCAGTACTTTGCTTGATGGGATGTTGTTAACTTACACTGTGGTCTACGGAAATAGTGAATTTCACTCCAATTTTCACGGACTTACAGGGAGAATTTCACTGCTGAACTGGGTGAATTTCATGGTAAAAGAGTGAATTTCACCATAGAATGTGGTGAAAATTTTGACGTACTATTGATGGCTCACCTTTGCAAAAGTTTTTTGATGGAGGTGCGGCTGAAGCATCTGGGCTCGGATTCCTCTGAAATTTGGACTGAGGCGAGCCCTGCATGTCATTAGCTCCGTTGAATATTTGCAGACTTTTTGAGAAACTGAGAAGGGAGCCTAGAAGATGCCGAGAAGAAACCCCAAATTACCCACCTTTGCAAAAACTTTTGGCAGGTGATTGGCAGGCGATCAATGCCATCAA